AAAAGAGCTGTATAGCTCTGTGGGCCTTGCATGGTAAGATTAAAATCGTAAAAAAAAATTAATCCACTTTTAACAGTTTTGTAAAATGTACTCCACGGTGGTTGAAGCTCAGCTGTCAAGGGGCCATCTCCTGGAAAGAGAGAGGGGCTGTAAGAGATTGTGCCGGTGGGATCTCCCCTTGCATCTCATGCCAACTACAAAGTCACGAGGAACACACGTTAAATATTCAGCGGAAGTGGCAACTGTTCCGTGAAAATAAAGAAGCAAGACTTGACTTGCCATTCATCTTTACAATCAGTGCTCATCCCATGTGGTTATTTGTAAAAAAAAAAAAAACAAGCCTCTGGCAACTTCCGAATGAAGTTATTTATTTTCTTTACAAGTTACTGGGTAACTTTCGCTTGCAAGTTCATTCATTCTTTGGCTGATGATATCACTAGTTTCATTCATTCATCATCATCGCAATCCATGGGCAGATTGCCCGTAGTAGGTGTCGACTGCACAGTTAGTCATTTATGTCCACTATCCTCTGTCTTGTGCCAATATTCTCAAGTAGTCAGTTTAACACCTAGGCTTTCGCGACCAATATTACTCATAATAGAGGTTTTTGGGTTAGATCACGTAAATATAAATGTGTCGTTAAACCCAACACCACCCGACACAGCGAAGTAGTAAGGTGAACCGCTTAAAGAAAACATGCAATTAGTAAGAAAAACCTTACTAATTGGCTGTGGCGGGTGGTGGCGGGTTTAACGATGCGTTTAACGACGCATTAATATTTGCGTGCACGAACCCAAAAACCTCTATTATTAGTAGTGGCAGCATTCTTGTGGCACCAATCGCTTGTGTGGTCGCCAAGCCATTCGCTGTTCGTCTTCTGTGGTCGTCGTTGGATTCTTGTCATCCTTTTTTTCTTCACGGCCAAAGTCTTGGCACCACCCTTTTTCCCGACCGTCCTACTTTTCATCCAAGTTTGGAACTGGGCTCAGATAGCCACTGGATGGTGGACGCCCCAAGGAGGAGTTCTTTCATTCCATAAAATACTTTTTTTGGGTTAGATTGAGTAAATATTCATGTGTCGTTAAACCCGCCAACACCCGAAACAGCCAATCAGTAAGGTTTGTCACATAAACATAACCTGCCAATTAGGTACTAGTTCAGCACACAAGTGTGTTGGAGAGTAAATCCACAACGTTTACAATTTGAGTACTGTGACGTTTAGCCGGTAATTACAACCAGCATCATCAGGCGACAGCCAGAGTTGTAGAGGAATCCTCCTGTTTCGGTTAAATAGAGGGGATAAATATGATGCCATCACTTGTGAGCCAATCCGCTGTGACGACCAGAGGGGTGGGAGGGGGTTAATGTATTCATATAAATGACAATGGATATCCATTCCCGGTTGGGTTATTATTCTTTCATTCATCGCCTAAATTTGAATCCAGAGCAGACAACGACAGAGTCTCAGCTATTCCAAGACGCTCCTGAAACCTCCCCTTTAATCACGATGACTTGAGCACGATCCTTTGAGCCGGGGTTGCCAAACATCTGGTCACTTTAATTTCAAATAAGGCCCAATCGATGCTATTATCGTGTAACGCCATCAAAGCTTTCGTTCTTCCAATCTTATTAACAATTGCACCCATATTAAATCCATTCATCTTTCTGACACAACGATCTCACCCGATGTGTCATACAATGGTTAAATTCGTATGTTTTTGTAAAAGAAGTGTATTAGAAGATTGGGTTGTTCTTGTGCAACAAAGCCTTCCTCGCCTCTGACGAGTCATTACTGCAGTGCAAAGTAGCGTTCTGCCAAGACTGGGATACTCCTGCCACTGTTCCTCCTTTCTTTGCCCTGCTGAACTTTGGAACATCCCTCCCTACATCACGAGTTCATCAGTTACAATAATAATGCTCATTTCAGGGAACGTGTTACTGTATGCTCCGGACTGATATATACACTTTTATTCGGCTGTATTTTACAGAAAACTTTAGGGATCTGGAGAATCCATTGTTGTCTAAAATACCTAATTAAATCTAGTACAGTATTCTTCACTAATTTTCAGAAGGGGGCCACTTTCGCTGATAACACATAATCAGTATGAGGGCCGCCACACATTTGAAACCATTGGAGTTTGACAACAGCACGATGATGATGGGGGGTCTTTTCACCATTTGTGATTGTGGGAGGCCGCACGTCAGGGGCCGCACGAAAGATCACCAGGGGCCGCCAGTGGCCCGCGGTCCTTGCGATGAAGAAGACTGCTCTAGTAGATCAGAATCGTATAACCAGTAGATGACCCTCCGTCAAAATACATTATCCTCAAGAAGATGTGTTTTCATCGAGTTGTTCATAATAATCTTCTAAAAGATGTCTGTCACCATTATAAAAAAAAACAGCGCTCTCCAGAAACTTACTTTCTGAAGCATCTCATAAACCGGAAGAATGCGGTAGTCTTTATCTGCAACACTGTCATGAATGCTAATAGTCGCTGGGCATGTTGCATTACGGGCCTTTGCGTCCGGCCGTGTTCAGTAAACATAATAATAAAAAACTTGTGCCTTGGAGTAATTTGCAATCCATGATGCGGAATCCGCACGGAACTTTCACAAGTCTCGAGAGCCTGCACTCAACCTCGGATCTCCTAATATACCCTAAGAGCCCCGCAATATTACAGCAGTGTCGACTCCCAGAGGAAAGATTCAGGCAAACTGTCTCACAACCATGACAATTTAATTCGCAGTGGCTAAGGGGGGCATGGAAACAAGCCCGGGGAGATTTGCCGTGCGCTGCTGCAATGCCATTATTGGCTCCCACATTATTTGTGGATGGGGGTGAGTGGTGGTGCACTGGTTAGCGTACTGCATATAGAGTACACCCGGTGACCTGAGTTTCATTCCGGTCCAAGGTTACCGGTGGCAGGTGGTACTGACCAGTGCTCGGCCCCTCCTCTCTTTCACACAAATCCGCATTGACCAGTGTGGTGAAGTATGGTCAAACAAACAGCAGTGAATTAATAATGGACTGTCAGCTACTATTGATATTAATGAGAATAGGTTTTACCCTTTCTGGCAATAAAACAGGTGCTAAGATGTTCAAACACCAAATATAAACCTTCTGCAAGGAATCAAAAAGATCCCATAATATACTATTGCTATGTTTCATGGGTGTCTGCATGCGCCCACACATAACATTACTATTCTTATTTTACCAGGTAAGGCCCACTGAGCTATACAGCTCTTTTTCAGAAGCAACCTGGCCACAAATGATAGCCCAATGAAGTGGCTTATCATGTGGAAATTTGTAGCAGCCAAATACTCTGAATGCGTGATGTTGATTCTAAATGTGAAGGTAAAAACTAGAGGACCTGGAGAAAAATCCACTCGACAATGGGGAGAACATGCAAACTCCAAGTATAGAGGCGTCAGGGTCGGGATTGAACCCACGACTTCCTGTATACCAGGCGAGGTAGTTAACATCTCGCTACTGCGGCGAGATGTTAATGTACTAACAGTCAAATAGGCCAAACCCTGCTGATGAGGCTTTATGAAGTGAAAACTGTTCTAAGGCTGTATTGTCAAAAATATATGCTCATGTACAATATTATACTGGAAGGACATTATGATAATTGAAGGCTATTCAGAAATGATCTGTTTCTCTATGTTTACATCAGAATTAAGGATGGCTTTCCCTCTCAGGTGGCACTCCCAAGGCAGGTGTGTCAATTCCACTTTCTTCCAGCTGGGTCAGTCTCTCCATAGGACAACCACTGTCGACTTCCACAAAGTGGTTCCCGTTTTATCAACCCCATCAGAAAATTGGCCACCGCGATCTTTGAAACCGTGAGTCCGATTTGCTCTACCAGCAGGGTCAACTGGCTGGACATCGCAGACTATAACAAGGCTCCCCAACCCACCCCTTTACACACAGCGACACTCGCACCCACCAGAGGAGCGTGGCATTCCCACCGCTCCCTCAGGGCGCCCCAGCAAAGGTGAGTGCCACCACCCCCCACTGTTCATTAAAGAAAGGGAGACGCTCTGACCTTGACGTACAGGGAGGGAAAAAACCCCACGCTGTGGTCTGACATAACAGGTGTGTGCGTGCTATTGCCTCGTATTAATTACAGCCGAAATCACGTCAATCCGGCAATAATCCAAATATTTTCAAAAATTAAGGACAGGGGAAAGAAACAATGATGAGCCCTGACAATGTGACTGCACAGCACACGGCTCAAGCACACAACGAAGGCCTCGCGTGCGCGACAGCTTCATGGCGACCGCTACGAGGGTTCGGCAAATGTTTAGAGCGAGCAGTCCTCACGTTGTTCTCTGTCCCCACATCTGTGTTATCTTTTCTTTCAATTTGAAACAAATCATTATCAAGAACAATATGACAGCAGTCCGTCGAAAGCGAGCCGGTTACACCGAGGAGCGGCACAGTCAGGATGTCGAACCGATTGCTTCACCTCATTCGGTTTTGGTAAACCTCACAATCAAAAGAAGTGGTTGCAGCTCACCCAGCGAGTAATCGGCTTTTACGGGTCTGTTCCAGTTAACCAATGGAAACCAACTCTGTGTGTGCATGTGTATCTCTCTTTGTCTCCACCCCTGTGTCCCAGTGTCTGTCTCTAAATATTTGTGTCTCTGTGCCTGTGTTCCACTGCTTTGTACTCCAGAAGGCACACTTGGACTTTGAGTGAACTACAAGTTACCGTGGTCTTTAATGAGGGACAGTGGCAACCCAGCTGATGATAGGTTAGCACAGTAGGCTATGTGCGGCACGAAATAAGTTCAACATACATACATTCATGGATGTAAACTGATTAAAACAGGGAACCCAAATCTGGTATCACCATTTTCTTTTCGAAGCATCGTATTTATTTAGGTTGAACTTCTATCACACCGTACGTAGCCAACCGTGCAAATCGGAGGTGTATCACCGGTTACCGATTCCAGTGTTCAGTTCGGCTAACGTCCGCGAGAAGGGCACTCACCGGGCGGGGGCAGGGGGTACTCCACCTCGAGCAGGGCGCGCTCCCCGATGCTGCGCAGGAGACTCACGATCTCCTCGTGCCGCAGCCGGGACACGTGGATCCCGTTCACCGAGTGCAGGTAGTCGCCCACGCACAGCTGGTCGCTCCTGGTCGCACACAGACCCAGCGCAACGTTAACGGGCGGCCCTGTACCATAAACAATGATCCCCTCCCGTATAGCGGGAATGTTTACACAACACATAAGGCACTCATTTTAGGCTAGGTCGACCTAGGGGAGGCCCAGGCCCGGTTTAGATATACGTCACTAGTCTTGGCCGTGAGTGGGAATCGAACTCGGGTCGCAGGGTTCATAGCACGGCTCGCTAACCACTACCCTACCGCTCCCCACAGGCCATTTTTCTCTGGCAGAGTGTGCGGACACAGAGAGTTATGGCCTGTTCTCGGAGCGCTGTACACGTGAAAAGCGTCTTGCATCACATCTCACCTCAACACATTTGAAAGGGCACCCCCAGTGGCAGTTGTCCCTGTGGACACAAAGTGACTCAGCACCTTGCCTGCAATTGGGGATTAGGCTGCCAGAAGGGGCGGGCGGGGGGGGGCAATGATTGCCGCGTGAAATCCCAATTTAGTCATTTGTGGTGTAATTTTTCGAATTTAGCAAATGTGGACTCCAGGAACAGTGACCTCCTCTTGCGACTAACAACAAGGGGATCTTCAACGTCCAATGTGAGGCGGACGGTGGCCACGATAATTGCACCGGTAGTAATAACCAGGGCGGCCACTGGATTCGTACCGCGAACCCCTGCAACTACAAGCGGCGAACGCACAGCCGCTGGGCCGCATCACCGCACTGTGATTACCAAGGAAAGGCCCACTGAGCTATGTAGTTCTTTTCAGAAGCGACCTGGCCACAAATGATAGCCCAATGAAGTGGCTTTTTAAGTGGGAAATTTATAGCATCCAAATACTCTAAACGCGTGTTTATAAATATTTGAGGGAAAACCGGAGGGCCCAAAGAAAAATCCATGCGACCATGGGGAGAAAGACACGCAAACTCCAAATATACAGCAGCAGCAGGCGTAAGGGTCGGGATCGAACCCACGACCTCCTGTATATCAGGCGAGGTCGTTAACATCTCGCCACTAGATCGAGTCCTCAACACTCGTGGAGGAATCAATGAGTTAAGTTCATGGCAACCGTGCCCATGGTAGTAGGAGTAGTAGTCGTAGCGATAGAAGAGCGATAAGCAGGCCACTGACTGCCGGTGAGCGGTGACCGGAGTGAATGACTGAGTGCTGGATCATCAATCAACCTGAAATGCTTTACGTTCAATTCTCTCCAGGCTAGTGTGGCAGGGTACTGTGCACTCCGCCCCAGATACGACAACAACATTTGTAGACAGCCCCACTGATTTATAATGACCCTGTAGCTTCTCAACACTGTGGCCAACGTATGGCTAACTGACCATGTGTTGGACGTGTATACAAGGAGAGTGTTATAATATGTAATTAGCATATTGAGATTGGAGGGAGACGTGAAAATATGTAATTAGAATATTGAGATTGGAGGGAGATGTGTCGAGGCTATGATGTCTATCTGTTATTTTAGTGGGGTGCCTATACATGGATCACCCTGTGGAGTAAATAGTTTTGACAAAGACTTATGACTGTGAAACTCTACATTTACGTGATAAATAGATGCTCCAGTAAAAATGTGCATCCTTGACAAACGATTCGAGTGATCAAGGGGGCGGGTGCTCACATACCTTGATGCCCCTGAGCTAAATGTAAATTCCACATTCCCATGGAAGGCACCAGCGTCTCCAGTAAAGGACAACTGTTGACAATTCACAAAGTGGTACTCATTCTATTGAACTTGGAATAATTGTATTTCCAGTAAATACAAATCCTCTTTTTTATATTATGCATTGGATGGCTTTCATTTGCAGCAGTACAGATAACATGTTATTTACAGGCTTACTAAAACTCATTGGATGCTGAAGACTCAACAGATCCAGCACCAAATATACGGGGTTCAGCTGACTCATAGCAAGCACTTCTTAACCCTTTCTCGTTCCGATGACGTATGTGCAGATCTTCAGAAAAACTGAAATAAAATTACTTTATCGGTACCGAGGCTCCCACAAGGCCATGCGGGAGGGGCGTGTGGCATGGTTTAGCGCCGGCTATCATAGAGTGCGGTCGTGTAGCTACAGTTATCCGCGGTGAGTACAATGTCTTTAAAAACAACGGCGCTACTCCTCTCGAAATAAAATTAACGCTTTACCTCTTGCGTGTTCCCGTATTTAACGGTGAACGCCCTGCAACTTGCAGTCGTCTCGGAATGGGAAAGGGTGAACTAACAGATTATCATCATTATTAAAACGATTCAATAAAATGTTTTTTTACGAATATTAAAACCAGAGAAATTAAATAAAGAAAATGTGGTTGAATTGAAGGAGAAAAAGTAACCACTATATTGGTATAAGGTCTTATTTTAAGAAGTCCCATCACGTGATCTTGAGTAGCCAATCATGAGCTGGCAAGCTTGTTATAAATTCGACCTGAATTCAATTTTGCATTAATTCTTTCCTCCTCCAAAAGGTTCTGGCTGCACACAGACATTTCTAATACCACTTAGCACTTGATACAGCTCTGGGCTGCTGTCACTGCAGATTCACATCACTTTAAAATAACGTTGTTTTTCTGTAGCAACACATCTCCACTCACGGATGCTCGTAAATGATCTGTGTAAAAAGATGGGCCTCAGCACACACGCACGCTACCGAAACGTGCATCTCGCAGATGGAACGTCCACCGTTGCTCAAACATTGCCAAAGCCCGACTGTCAATCCCGTGCCAAAGGCAACGGAAGGCTCGTACGGCGACGTTTTGAATACGCAAGTGCGGCTGTGGGCTCATGGCTGACGCGATCGCCTTCTGCTACCACATAACCAGTAGGCATCGCAACGTGTGTGGGGGGGCTCCTTCCCACCACAAACATCGCATGCACCGGTCCAATTCATTTTCTGTTTCATGAGGATCCATGCCGCTCGGACGACCGGCAATAATAAACCGTGTGACATTTTCTACGTGGTCTGTCTTTTTAAAAATGTATTTGATTTGTTTGATGAAGTGCCCCTATGACATTAATATACACAAGGACGTCGGCATTTCTTTTGCTGCTTTGCTTATAGTTACGGCTGTCATAGTGACACCCTTAAAAAAGACTCAGTACTGAGATAAATGCACGGAGAACACTGTCCCCTTTAGCAACACGCCATCGTAAAATCGCCAACCCAATGTGAAATGGCACCTCGTATCAAAGTGATGTACTCGCAGTTTTCCACATCTACAACCGTGACCGCTATGTTTAGGTCAAGTCCTCTAATTCAAACAAGCATTGGGTAAATTTTGATTTAAAGCTTTCGTGACTGCAGTAATTCATATTCTTAGTTTTTTCGGTAAAGTCACGTTGAAGGGAAACAACAAAATAATAAAATATATATAAAACAATAAAAAAATTCTCACGACGTTTCGACCATAACTCAAACGGTCGTCTTCAGGTGTGTTAGTTGCATAAATTTATTTTTAAACGGCGCATTTATTTATTTATAAAAAAAAACGTTAGCGCCACGCGCAACGATTTGGCAGTTTATTTAGGACTAGTCCATCTATATTCTGAAAAGAGGAGGGGGGAGACGAAATTTTTATAATGTATGCTGTCTGAAAGCCACTGTAAGCGTGAACAATCAATTAAGACCTGAAATGGTTTATCAAATCTTTCCAATGATTGCTAAGATAGAATCCATCTTCTCGGTTGAAATTGTCTCTGTGCTTGTATATGTGGATAGCCTCATGAACGAATCTCTCATGGAAGCCAGATGGCTTACAAAGAACCTCTGTCTTGGAAAAGTCAATAGCATGTGAGCCTACTGAATTAGAACAATGATCTGCCACGGCCGAGGTGTTGGTCCTACCGTGTTTAAGGTCTGCTTTGTGTTCACGAATGCGGTCCGAGACATGGCGTTTAGTTTCTCCAATGTAACTACTACCACAGAGGCAACTTAGTTTGTAGACACCAATGGGCTCCCCCCTTTCTCCAGTTATAGCTAACATTTTCATGGAGAAATTTGAGACTGGAGAAATTTGAGAGGAATGATATTGTAGTCCTCTCAGCTGACAAAGGCAATGCTACTGTCATCATGGATAAAATCGAATACAACAACAAAATTAAAGAATTACTCGACGATGGTAGTTATACAAAAATAAAAAGAGATCCCACCAACAGCCTCGTCACACAAACCAACAAAATAATTTCTGATTCAACCGCATTAATTGATCAATCTAAACAGTTTTCGTTGAAACCTTCTGCTGCCAGGCCACCAAGATTATACGGCTTACCAAAAATACATAAAGTAGATACACCCCTTCGTCCCATAGTCTCTACTATCGGCTCCCCCACCTACAAACTAGCTCGTTTTTTGTCTGAAATCCTGCGTCCTTTCACTGGAAAGACCACCTCTGCGGTACAAAATTCTACTCACCTGGTATCGACAATCAAGGGTATTTACCTGTCCCCAGACGACCTGCTTGTCAGTTTTGATGTAGTTTCCTTATTCACCAAGGTTCCTGTACCTGACACCATTGCAATCATTGAAGACTTGGTTCATCAAGGACTAAACACTGAGGTACCCCCCCTGGTGAGACACTGTTTAACCAATACATACTTCACTTGGAATGGAACTTTCTACAAACAAACTGAGGGCACCCCAATGGGCTCCCCCCTTTCTCCAGTTATAGCTAACATTTTCATGGAGAAATTTGAGACTGACGCCATCCAGACTGCCACTCTGCGCCCAACCTTATGGAAGAGGTACGTGGATGACACTTTTGTCATCTGGCCACATGGCCGGCCTGCTCTAGACCAATTCTTCGACCACATCAATTCCATACACCCAGCCATCAGATTTACCATGGAAGTCGAAATAGATGGCAAGATACCTTTTTTGGATGTCCTAATTAAAAAGAGACCTGATAGTTCAATGAGCCACTCTGTCTACAGGAAAGCTACCCATACGGATGCTTATCTGAAACTGGATTCCCACCACCATCCATCACAGAAGAATTCTCTCATCAAGACTCTG